CTTATGCGGCTTTTTCATATACTAACCTAACCTAAACCTACAGGAGGGGTCGTACCGTCTAGGTAATGCAAACAAATTCTGCTCTGGCACTCGCCGGCCACAGCCGCGACACGCTCGCTCGGTTCATGCGGCTTTTTCATATACTAACCTAACCTAAACCTACAGGAGGGGATCGTACCGTCTAGGTAATGCAAACAAACTCGGCTCTGGGGGTCTACTCTCGATCTCCGTCCGACATCTGTCCGAAACAATTACTGCCAAATAAGCAATACTTGACCAAATGAAAAGACGCGTGATGCGAATGAAGCTTCATACTTGATACTTGTCTTTTAATTTTGTCGAATATTACTTATTTGACAGTAATTGTATCGGACAGAGATCGAAAGTAGACCCCCTGGCACTCGCCGGCCGCTGCCGCGACACGCTCGCTATGGTCTCTCGGCTCATACGGCATTATCATATACTAACCTAAACCTACTGGAGGTGGTCGTACCGTCTAGGTAATGCAAACACACAAAAAACAGGCTCTAGTACTCTCCTCGATTAGTTATAAGTTATGTATTGATTACTCAAGACCATTGTTTTTAAATTACATTTCAGATGACAGCAAAAAATAGCACAATGGTATGACGAAAATTAAGTATGTACTTACTTAAGTATTATTACACATAATACTTAAGTAAGTGGACTTGCTGTGCACCAGCACAGCAGTACAGTCCAGAATTTTGAAGCTGTATGGTAAAATTATATGGCGGTACAATTTTATCTAAGAATAGTAATTTTGTCGAAACGAATTTTCAGCAATCTAAATTATATGGAAAACAAACGGTATTACAAACATGATTAGACCAAACAAACTTCTGCCCAAAGAATACGTATGTAGGTATTTACATACATTTGCCGGATGTCACTCATTAACTAAATAAATGGATTCATTCAACATCAATGAGGTTAAAATTTTTAAAGCTCTTGGGCATGTCATCTCTTATGTTGTCTGCATAATTATATTACCTATATACATAGCATTTTGAACAATAAAATATCTTTTTAGTCGGCAGCATTTCAAGAGAAAGATTGCCAAGATTAGTAAGTTTTTTTTAATAAATTATAAGTGCACATTTGACCTCCATCTCACTTGATGGAAAGTGACGATGAGATCGACGATCGACACACCTAAATAATGCCTATTCACTCTCGGTTTGAAAAGGCTCAAGTTATAACGTTCAGGGAACAAGTCTGCAGGCAGGGAATTCCACTCCATAGCCGTTCGCCTTATAAATGTGGAAGTATAACGCGTCGTGAGAAACTTTGGAATATCCACAACATAGGGGTGGAACCCAAGCCTACGCCTAGTCCACCGGTGATGGAAAGGGGTAAGGCGGAATTAAATCGTGTAATTCCATCGCACACTCTCCGTGATATAAACTTTAAATGTCCAAAGACACTGCAAGTGCTTCGCCTTGCTTTACTATATCCTCGCTCCATATGTGACAGGCATACACAAGATCCCTAATAGATCGCCCTCATCGGAATCCGTACTGGCGATCACTGAGGAGGTCGTTGTCTAGAAGGTATGAGAGGAGACAGTTGTTGATTACGCGTTCCTTAGTCTTGCAAAGTATGGAAGCGAGTGAGATAAGTCTATAATTGACAGGGTCAGCTCTGTTTCCCTTTTTCGGCACTGGTTGCACGTTTGCAAGCTTCCACGACCTGGGAACTACACCAGTCTCAAGTGAGAGGCGGTACAGGCGTGTGAGAACAGGAGACAACTCAGGCGCACAATTACGCACGCTATAAAGGTATGATCTCAGATTACAAATGTTTTGTAATCTGAGAGTATGATTAACATGTGATCAGCACTAGCACTAGGTATATCTATTATATCACATTCTAAGAACATTGTCACATACTTTTATTATTTTTAGTGAGTGTTTTGTCCTTAGGTTTTATCATATGATGATCGATGTTTCTGATAAGTTTCTAACGATTAGACAACACATTCGTTTCGGATTTGTATTAAAAAACTATTGGTATTTCCCCCTTATAAGAAAAATCCCCGAACAACGCCTTATATTATCGTTAAAAAAACTTATTTATATTAATATTAGTAACAAAAACTATCGAAATTTAATAACTATGTAGATTCTGAATCAAATTCTGACCGAATTGTGAACGATACCGGGAACTATTGACAGAGAACAAATAAGTAATGAGAACGGACACTCTCCGCCCTCCCTAGCTTTAGATACCGCACCACGCCCCGCACATTGACGGTCACATTGACTGAACGAGTACAAGGCTTTGATGTTCGAATATAGTTTTCATTTATTCATTACGAAATTTGTACGTTTATATACAACATCATTTTACGTTACTATTTATAATGGTCGTGAATTTTGCTGTGTACGTCTGTTTATAATCATCTAAACGGAATAAAGAGAGGAGTTTCTTTCGTTTTTTGAAAGATGATACTGTCATGATTCGTGTAAAAATGTGTGTATTACTAACTTTTATATTTTAATAATATATTAAATAGTATTAAAATACAATAACTCTTGTGTTTTATACCGAATTGTAATAAAAAGTTCGTTCTTGATAATGACCTTCAATATCAGATTTTATAAAAAAAATGTCATGTTAATTTGCAATTGTAATTTTCGTATGTTATCGGTTAGTTTAAAATTATTTAAAAGATTGTAGCTGAATTCAAAAAACAGGAAATATGTTGTCGCGCGCATGGCGATAGTGGAGCCATCTTTATCGGAATCTAAGAATATTAACCTGACATTATTTTAGACTAGAGGTGTTTTAAAAAAATATAATTTGTTTAAAAAAACGTATTACGGTTAATAACAATTTGTATTTTATTAATCAATAACTCTTGGATTTTGTACCGAATTATAAAAAAAAGTTCTTTAGTTGATAATGTCCTTCAATAATGGATTCCGTAAATATATTCGATTGCGTACTATTTAATTGTTAAGTTTTGTTAAAGAACATTTTACTGTCATGTTAATTCGCAATTGTAATTGTGGTGTTTGATTGATCTTGAAATGATTGGTTTAAATTTACGTAAAAGATTGTAGCTAAAGCCGAGAAACGGGAAAGATGTTTCGCGCGGATGGCGATTGAGGAGCCATCTATAACGTAGAAAAAAAAAGATATTAACTAGCGCGGGGCAGGCTGTTCCGTTTATCGACTAATGGAGTCAAGACATAGTGTTCTGTGGAAAAGAAAAAATAATGTTTGTGCTCTAGAGATAGAAGTAAAATTGAATAAATAAATAGCATTTGAATAACTAATTTTGGATATTTAATTTCTTACAATACGAAGTAAGTAAAAAAACTTATGTCTGAGTCTCATTCAGTTATTGTTTTCTTTAGTGCAGAGTAATATATAATACATATTTATTATATTGATATAATAAGACGCCATAACTTCGTGAGCTAGACAAGGGTTCTTGTATTAGTAGTTTGTGACAAGGGTTCTACAATTTTCAATTTGTATTGCCGATAAATATTACGTAGTGAATATACCTAATTATTAACTTGGTAATGATAAAGTTGGCTTTTTTGCAAGCAATGTTGGCAAGAACCCTTGTCGAGCTCACGAAGTTATGGCGTATCCAAATACGCAATTTCAAATACTTTGGTTACCTTAGTTAAAGCTACCTGTCCACAATGTAACATTTTAAGTGCTTTTAATATATTTTTTAATAAATTTGCAATGTTATTCTAGTTAGTGAATTAATAAAAAATATAATATTATATCGATATAAATACGTAATGAACATGTGTAATTATTAGGATTCTATAATGGAATTCGCGTTAGAATTTTCGCTATGTTGTCGCTCTGGCCACGTAACGTAATAGTATGAGCTAGAGGTGGGTGATAAATAACGTCACGATGAAAAAATCATGATGATCCGCCGTCAAACAGCATCACCGTGACTCGTTCCGAAGGAACGACGTTCCAAAGTCACATAGGTGTTCCTCCGTTCCAATAGCTATCCCCGTCACTCACATCACGACATACGTATTTGATACGATGCGCGATCTCCGTTCCGTGGTGACTGAACGCGCCACTCGTTGTAGTTCTCTTTAAATCGGGCCATTTCGGCGATGGGAGTGAATGAAATAGGATGACTTTCTCCATTATTCTCATAAGGACAGATTCTCAATAGGACGGATTCTCAAGAAGACGGATTCTCATGAAGACAGATTCTCAAAAGAACAGCAGTACACGTAAGGAGAAAAAGAGAAAAAAATAGAGATAAAATTATTTTAATAACTTGTCAATTGTCGTCGTCAAAACGTCTTAGTATCGCAAGGCGTTGCAAACACTCAAAGATCGATATTTCACTCCGTACACATTCAGATACAATCTGTTCAATTTTTCTGTCAACTAAAATGTCACTTTTTCTCCTTCTTTTTCCCGCACAATAAAAGGACCCTCTGACAATTTTTATGTCCGACAGTTTTGCTTCCTTCTTCAAAAGCATGATGAAATAAAGCATCGATGGCCTTTTAGGAATTCTAGAATTAATTCTTTTATGCCACCCTTCGATTGCGTTTGTCGTTCGAAATTTCTCGCCAAAACAACTGAAAACTTCTCTCGTAATAAGATTGATCCATTGCTTCGAGAAATAATTTTGGAATTGTGTACTTTCTTCAGTATTAGGAGCTAATTCACATAATGTCAGATACGCCTCCGGTATAAGCGACGCTAGCAACAGTGCTAATAAGGAAAAGAGCTGAGTACATTTACGACCCTCGTTGGATGAACTAAAATTAATCGATTTCGACTTTTTCCAAACTGCGTTTGTAAAATGATAGTAGCAACCCTTTACTACAATGTCAGGATATATTGCCTTTATCGCTTGGATAATAGCCAGTTCGTAGTCACATTTGAAAGTGCTGATATTCATAAAAAATTGATATTTTAAAATTTTGAAAAGTCTCTCGTATGTAGTTTGGCTTTTGTTGGGCAACAAAGCGAACAACAATGGCACAAAGCACACAGTTCCTGATTCATGCGTAATGTCAGCATGTACAGAAAACAGCTGATAGAAAGGAATCGGGCAACATCTAAACGTTCCATCAACGTACACAATATCAACTGTTTTCAATGTTGCTTTTGCCAGTCGAGTACCAAAAATTATAATCTTCTCTTCAACACCATCGTCATACAAAAAGAAATCACTTACTAAACTGTCTGGCAACTGCACATCTTGGGGTCGCAAAAATTTACTTTTTTTTACATTTAAAAATTTATAGCGTGCCCGATACAGCGTATCCTTTTTTGAACTGAATGTAGGTAATTCCTCTGGGGAAAGCATTTCGCCCTGACCAAATGTATGATCAGAATCCTGTTTATGAAGTTTGTAATAGTGTTTCTCAAAAATTTCAGGTATAGGCGCCATATTAAGACAAACCTCTTGTTTGGCTAATGACATTGTGAAATCAATTTTGTTACGTTCATAATCTGGTAAACATACATGTTTAGCTTCTTTCACAATTTCTTTATTATCAGCTGTTAATGTTATGGAAGTGCTACAAATGTTTTTATTGACGCATCGCCAATTAGTTGTACCACACATATTTGTTTTAACAAAATTATATTTATGGCCAGCGTGCAGAAGCACCATTCCTTGATTCGATAACCGGCCTTTACCTATAACAATAAGTAAAAAACTTCATTCGGTGCTTCTTTTCCGTGGTTCAGTCGTGATATACCGGTTGACAGGACCACAGCTAAACTTTTGGTTGTCTATAGATTTGACTGTACCCATGGTCACTAAGAATTATCGTCTGTCCGGTTAACTGTACTACCACATGAAAGTTTAGGTATGGTATGGTCCGGTCAACCGATCTATCACAACTGAACTACTCCCCAGTTCTATCCATCAATACATGTTGTACAGCTCCAAACGGAACAGAGACGATAGGAAAACTGTCCTGACACAGTAAATGAATATTCATAAAAATTAACAGCTCATAAACTGAGTCGTACCTTTATTTCCTTCAATTATCACGATGTTAATTTTTCCAGAACTAGGGCCCGCTTTATCCATTTTTGAAAAAAAAATCAATGATTTTACATAGAGATAGGAAAATTAGCTTACATTCAAGATATTTCATGACAATGTCAAATCAATGACATGTTTAATAATTAGTTTTATCAAATCACCAGTAACAAAACAAATTATACAGCAAGGAGATTACACTTTCCACTGCAATTTACTCATATACCTACTCTGCTGTTTCAATCCACTATTCCCCGGGAGTCAACAACAAGCATCGTGTATGGATACCCACGGTCCATACATAGGCCTGTGCCCTGCAGTGGGACGTATACAGGCTGTGTGATGATGATGAAACAAACCGACACACCATAATGCGTTATATGTTATGTATTGTGAAAAAAAGGATCAATTAATAATTTCAAATAAATTTAAAAAATGATCACGTGCATCATAAATGCACAAATTAACCATTTATGATGTATCGGTTTGTTTACACCCTGGGAACAGTGGATTGACATTTTGACCAAATATTGTGATATCATCATCAGTATCACTTCAGCCGAAAGACGTCCACTGCTAGAAATAGGCATCCCTCAATGATAGGCATCCTCAATTATCGCCACGACGACAAAAAAAAGTACTATTTAAAGGCCCATACAAAAAGTAACCAACGCGCAAGGAACATGCAGACCAGGGATGTTACGAATATTCGCATCCGCATCCGTAAATGCGGATTATTCGCATTAATTCAGACATCTGCATCCGCATTTACATCCGCATCAATCAATGCGGAGTTTTTACGAATGCACACGAACAAGTTATAACATGTAAAGAAAGTGGGCGGAGCCAGAGTGGCACGTGCCTTGCGTTTGTTTTGACAATTGCTAACTTCATTCGGTAACTGACGAATAGGAAGGCGCAAATTGCTACAAGATTCGACAGGTTTTGTTTGTTGTGTTTTTTTCTAGAGTCCGACCGAAACTTCCGTGCGACAGTTCGAAACTTCCGTCCGAAAGTTCGGTCGGACTTTATTTTTTTCTCATTGTCAATAAATTAAAGTGAGTGTTTACTGTGTAGAACTTAAAGAATATTTTGATATAAATATTAAAGTAAAATGGCGCCACCATTAAAAAGCAATATCTGGACTTATTTCACAATAGACAAAAATGATCCGGAAAAGTCGGAGTGTAAAATATGTAATAAAAGTTACTCGCGGAAGGGACGCACTACTACTTCATTGAAAAATCATCTGAAATCAATACACCCGGAAGAGTTTTGTTTATTTCAAAGTGCGAATAAAGAAAAGGAATTGAAGAAAAAAAATGATGAAGCAGGTATGTACCGAAAATCACGGAATATAAGATGTTTTACAAACTTAGTGACGGTTAGATAAACTCATTTAATTTCTTTAATAATTTGCTGTTTTCAATTTAAATCATGATAATTATACTTGGTGCTATTTTATATTACTTACTTTATTATATTATACTGTGACTAAAATATATTGTTGTTATTTATTATACTATACACATGATTTTTATGTTACTTTTTATATTCAATTTAAAATAAAAAATAGTTCTAGGTATTAGTGAAAATATTCACTTTTTAGGCTTTTTTAGCACTAACCAGAATCCAAAGTTAGTTTCAATTTTGTATGTATTTTTTACAGGTACAATTGTGACTCCGTTGCCGTTGCAACAAGCTAAGAAACAGCTTTCGTTAGAAGATGTACTACAAAAAGAAAAGAAGTGGGATACTAACAATCCTAATTCAAAAAAGCTTGACAAACTCATTGCCGAAATGATAGCGCTTCAAAATTTACCATTTAACTTTGTGGAGGGACTTGGATTTCGTCGTCTCATTCATGAGTTAGCACCGAAATATAATTTTAGAGGACGTAATTTTTTTACTGATTTCATATGCCATGAGCTATATATAAAACTCGCTGGAAAAGTTAAAGAACTAATTGAAGAATATCATTACATGTCCTTCACTTCTGATATTTGGACAGATCCCAGCTCAGGTGTTTCTTTACTTAGCCTAACTTGTCATGGAGTATCAGAAAACTTTGAACGATCGTCAATTGTGTTAAAATGCGAAACTTTTGATGACCGTCATACTGGTGATATCATTGCAGAAAAATTTAACACAATGCTTGCTGAATGGAATATTTCAAATGAAAAAGTGCATTGCATAATACGAGATGAAGGCTCTAACATGAAAAGAGGAATGCGATTAGCATTGCTAAATGATTTAGATTGTACTGTTCACAAGTTGCAAATTGTTATTCGGCATGGTTTACGATCGCAGGAAAGCATAGAAGACGTCAAACAAAAATGTAAGAAAATTAGTACTCATTTCAACCATTCAGTCATTGCTCAAAAGCAACTTGAAAAAATTCAGGACAGACTTAATCAACCGCATCTTAAAATATTCCAGGATTGTGTGACGCGCTGGAACAGCACGTTCTACATGTTTGAGCGTATTCTGAAGATAAAAGATGCATTAAGTCTTTATGCCAATGACAATAACATTGAATCCATTTTGCCTGAAGAGTGGAAAATAATAGAATGCTGTATTGAAGTACTGAAACCGTTTGAGGAAGCTACTCGTGAAATGAGTAGCTCTCAGGCATTCATATCATCTGTGATTCCTATGATACAAATGCTTTTGAAAAAACTTGACGACTATTTAACAAAACCACGAGAAAGTGATGCTATTCAGTTGGCAGTCTCTAACCTGAAATCACAATTTTCAGCGAAATTTTCTTCTTTGGAAGATAACAACTTTTATGCCATTTCCACATATTTAGATCCTCGTTACAAGCATAAATTTTTCAAACCAGTCACCGAAGAAAAAATAAAAGATGAAATAATAAAGATGATTAATGACCCTGCCGTTACTGATTCTCCTATGTCGCCAGCGAAAAAAACAAAAAGAATGAGAATGGAAGATTCTCTCGATCCTGAACCAGGAACGTCCAGCACGGGTCAGAAGACTTGCTTAAGAAGCGATCTTGCCATGATGTTAGATTCATCGAGCGAAGACGAAGGTGAAGGAGATCCGGACAACAGTAGCCCCGATATTCTTCTCCGCAAAGAATTAGTTATTTATCGTAACAAAAAAAGACTGGATTTAGAGGGAAATCCACTTAATTGGTGGAAAGTCAACGGTTGTGAATTTAAAATTCTCTCCAAATTAGCATGCAGATATTTATCACCTCCACCAGCCAGTGTTCCCAGCGAGCAACTATTTAGTGGAGCTGGATTAATATATAATCCACTAAGAAACAGGCTGGAAGCTGAAAAGGCTGCAATATTGCTATTTATTAAATATAATTCACCAATCTTTAACTTTAATTATTAAACAAAAAAATATGATTATGAAACTTCAAGCCTTGAAGTTTCATAATCATATTTTTTTGTTTAATAATTAAAGTTAAAGATTGGTGAATTATATTGTATAGTTGTTGTTGTTTGTTGCTTGAAGTTCAAGCTAAAGTTTTGTTTTGTCACAAGTTATTTTGTTCTAAAAATATGATTTAATAAATTAAAAGTTATAATTAAATTGATTTTCAATTAATTATGCCAAAAAATAAATATATAATTATCCTTTTAAAATCCCACAATCCGCATCTGCATCCGCATCAAATCCGCATCCGCATCAGATCCGCATCCGCGGATGTGAACTTCTAATAATCCGCATCCGCATCTGCATCCGCGGATGTCAAAATTTTTGCATCCGTAACATCCCTAATGCAGACATACGTTAAACTTATGTTACCGAGGCGTATTTCAAATACTTTTGCGTGCACCTGTACAATTTCCGGTTTTTTGAGAATCTGTCTTCATGAGAATCCGTCTTCTTGAGAATCCGTCCTATTGAGAATCTGTCCTTATGAGAATAAAGGGACTTTCTTTGCTCACTCAGAAGGGTCGTAGATGCTTAATACTACTAGAAAAGGCGGATGAAAAAAATCTGCAGTTATTATAAACCTATTTATGAACAAAGTAAAATATTTTTGTATATTTGTTTTATTATAGGAAGAGTTGGTATTTTATATTTATGTATAATCTACTTTGTGTATTCTACTAGAAATATAATTGCATATACTTTATTGCTATTTTTAACAATCCAAAGATTCGCATTAAATAAGTAACAAACAAAATTACATTAAATAGAAAATCAACTTTTTGAATGGAATCGAAACTTATTACAAAGGGATTAAAAACTTAAACAAATCATTCTATAAAAAACGGCTATAAGTTTGAAGCCGCTGGCTAACACCGTACAATATATCGTGATGTAAGTTATAGGCGCTAGGCGTGACAAGGTTACGGAAGTAACAGTCGTGACAAAATCACGATGATTTTGCACTGTGATTTTTTTGGAACCGGAACGACTGTCACGGCGATAGAAATTAAACTCTATTCCCCATATCTAGTATGAGCAAGTGATGGGTAGGTAACCCTGCCACTTCACGCACACATTCACGCGTGTGCAGATAGCGCCTTGCTGTATGTAGTAGTAGTAGGTGAATAATTTTCGACCGTTGTATGGAGTGTCCGGGGTGTGCTATTGATGAGGTCATACAGATTAATTACGATTAGCGCTTATCTGGCATAGAATAGAATAGACATACATGGCAGTAACGGATGTTATGCGATTTTTCAATAACTGTTATTATAAACTGGTGTCAGATAACCTGTTATTCCGCTGTTTTGTAGTTTTGCGTACATGACAATGATATCGAGTGAACCTACTATTTTAGCCTTTATGCAATTGGAATAATGTCGATTTAAGTATTTGGTATCGACAGTACTGTTGGGTTTTCCGTAAAATTTGAAATAGGTGAATTTTTTCCGGAAAATATTTCGAAAATTTGGAAAAATGTGGATATTTAGAAAAATATAATTTCAAAGGCTCATATTATATTTAGCGTGAAATATAAAATAAACTTGTATAGCAAAAACCTACATAGAGAAAAACGAAATTTAAAATGATTTCACTAACGAAGAAAAACGTTTTTAACGTCCTCCATCGTTTTCGTTCGATAACTTCCACTTGTGTTGAGGTGGCAACATCAAATGTGGAAAATTAAAGAAAAATATTGGAAAAACATCTGGGGAAAATATAATTTTTCTGAAAAATATAATTTTTACCAAATGGAAATTTTTGTATAACCCAACACCAATCGACACGCAGTTAATATCAATGGGGTATATTCATCTATGATATCAATCAATTTAATTACAACTGGTGCCGAAAACAACCATTTTGTGTAGGCTTATTGGTTAATGGTTGTAGTCAACAGCAACAATAGCTTAACAGAGATTTGATTTCATTGCGTTAACGCCATCCATAGTCTGTGGTTAACGCCATTATCCGCGATTGACGTTGATTGAACCACAAATAACAGGTTACACAATCAGTGTTGCCGTGGTGTTACCAAGGCCCTTGAATAGAAAATAATAATTAATCGCGTAACAGTAATTCATTATTTCATTATTGACTAACAGCCGTTTTTGTCACATCTACTACATTAAGCCGTTTTTGTCACATCTACTACATCTACTACATTAACGCATTTAAGTTACTCTTTGTTTAAGTTTCATTCAATTTCAAGTGTCATTGGTATCGTGTGGCGCGCAGGCGTATTCTCCAAAGTATTCTAATGTCATTTCTGTTACCGTCGGGCTTTGTATTTTCTTTGTTTAATTCGCCGCTTGTGATATTGAGTATTTTAAAGTAAGTTTATTTTTACTAAAATCTTATATCGGTAGCTAAAATTAAGTTATAATCAAATATCGCACCGGCAAATTGAGCCTCGCTGATTACCTATGAAATGATAATTGAAAAAATTTTTTCAACAATAGTTTTGTTGCTTATGTACGTAGGTATTAAATGAGTGAGAATCGATTTACAAATGTACGTACCTAAGCTTGTTATTTTAGTTTACATGCTATTCGTTAAACTTAGATTATATGATTTTTTTGTTTCTGTTTAAAAATGGAATTTATTTTTTACAACGGTATTTATACACGATTTTTTACTTTATTCTATTTCATTTGTTGTAGACATACAAAATGCGATGTGAGCTATGTGCCGACCCAAATGTGGGCCCAGGACACGAAATCTCAGAAAAGCATATTAGGAACAAAGTGCTTTATGATTATTCCTTCAACAGGTAAGTAGACAATATAAGTAAAAAGACGCCAAGATGGGTATTGTGAATATTAAGTAGTAATACCTTTTACTAACGGTGATGAAAGACATCATGATGAAACATGCATTGAAGAAGGTGCACAGCATTTGAAAAACCTGTTAAGTCTCCTAACACTTCATTATGCCAACATGGTAGATTGTGCCCTTGATGAAGAGACCCGATGCTTGTAGTGGAACAGAATAATGAGTTGATGAAGTTGTTGTTGTAAGATATCATCCCTTCTGCTTCCAGTTAAAAATTAATTATAAATATATGTGGAAAAAAAATATTTCTAGAAAAATGAAGTTAAGAATGTAATGTATTCAACGTTATATTCCTACATTAAAATATAGACACCATAAGGATTGGGGTCTTACATAACAAGTTACTCATTTTAACAATTTTTAATTATGACTTTCTGTATACCATTCTAACAGTTGTATAACTGTAGCCCACTATAATTTCTTAAATTTATTATTGAGGAGCTTCAGAAGAAAAACTAACTAGTCTGACAATTTTTGATACTAATTTCATTTAGTCTCATTGAATGGATTTGTTGTATTGTGTTTAGATCTATGTATTTGAAACATATTGTTAAGGTGGATTTAGCACTTGCTCTTCATGTTGGATAAATGATCTTAGTCAAAATGTGAGTTAGCAGTTTTTGTTCTGACACTCCTCAATTATGTGGGCTGCCACCGTTAGATGGTAGGGCGTGTATGACATTGCTTCTAAAAACGGGCGGGTGTATGTGTGTGTGTGTGTGTGTGTGCGTGTGTGCGTGCGTGCGTGCGTGCGTGCGTGCGTGCGTGCGTGCGTGCGTG